AGTTCTTAATCACGTATTTTCTACCATGGATTCGCTATCTTTTCAACTCTCTATCTTCAATCATTTTAACCACGTTACATTCATCTTTTTAAACATGGAACTTTTAATTAAATTAAAGAAAGAACTTGTAACACGAAAATTAAAGTTTTGTTTACGGATAACACAAGTAACACGTTTTAGAAACTTTTTAGTTTAAAAAAAAAAACACTACATTTCCTAGGCTTACCTTTGAGTTTTTGATCATGTATTTTCCGCCATGGATCCTTTGTCTTTTCAGATTTTTTGTTCTCCATCATTTAAAACATGTGCCTTCAGTCTTTGTAGAGATATACCTCCATAACTTTTAACAGTGTATGTGATAATTTTTAGCTTATATAGCACTTCATCGAAATTAAATGTTAATTTATTCCCCCAGCTTCACATTCCAGGTGGAAAGGTTTGGATTAGACAATGAGGTCAAAGTTAACTTACAAGTACGAAGTTAAGAAGTCAACCAATCGTATTCAGAACTGACTAACGAGCATGGCTCGACAACGGTCAACCCATCGCTTTGAAAGTTCACTTAAAGTATGACCGTAAGGAGTCAACAAGGCTCTACAAGGATCAGCCCATTGCATTCAGAGTTTACTTAAAAGCTAACAAAAACTGTGAATATCATTTATCTTCACAAATCCCATCTTTAAACCCTAACTTACATTGTGCGTAGTAAACGTTGTCCACAAATTCCATTCGTAAACCCTAACTTACATTATACATAGTAAACGTTGTTCACAAATCTCATTCGTAAACCCTAACTTACCTTGTGCATAGTAAACGTTGTTCACAAATCCCATTCGTAAACCCTAACTAGCATTATACATAGTAAACGTTGTCCACAAATTCCATTCGTAAACCCTAACTTACATTATACATAGTAAACGTTGTTCACAAATCTCATTCGTAAACTCTAACTTACCTTGTGCATAGTAAAAGTTGTTCACAAATCCCATTCGTAAACCCTAACTAGCATTATACATAGTAAACGTTGTTCACAAATCCCATTCGTAAACCCTAACTAGCATTATATATAGTAAACGTTGTTCACAAATCCCATTCGTAAACCCTAACTTATATTATACATAGTAAACGTTGTTCACAAATCCCATTCCTAAACCTTAACTTACATTGTGCATAGTAAACGTTGTTCACAAATCCCATACATAAACCCTAACTTACATTATACATAGTAAACGTTGTCCACAAATCTCATTCGTAAACCCTAAGTTACCTTGTGCATAGTAAACGTTGTTCACAAATCCCATTCGTAAACCCTAACTTACATTATAGATAGTAAACGTTGTTCACAAATCCCATTCGTAAACCCTAACTTACATTATACATAGTAAACGTTGTTCACAAATCCCATTCGTAAACCCTAACTTGCATTATACATAGTAGATGTTGTTCACTTAAAGTTCGTTTCTAATGATTTTGCATTTCGTTAATGGACGAGAGAGTACGCTACTTGTTATATTATAATGTAAACCATGCTTATCTTACGTAAGTAGCATTAATATCAAATATGACGAACATACTAATGACTTTATCATCTAAATTATTCGTAATTTCGTGGTATATACCAACTCATGTACAGTGGCCTTTGATTAAAAAAATCAATAAAAAGGTCATCTTGCTTTCCGTGTAAAAGAAAACTTCCCACAATAGTCGCTTATGTAAAGTAAAACTGTTGCTATATTTGTTGCCGCAGGATAAATAGCAGTTTTTATTGAATTCTTAACTATGTCCCTTTTCTTGAAACGCAATAAATGTTCTCGTGGTTTAAGTTTATGGACACTATGTATGACTCTCGTGGTTTAAGTTGGTGTACACTATGCATGACTCTCGTGGTTTAAGCTGGTGGACACTATGCATGACTCTCGTGGTTTAAGCTGGTGGGCACTATGCATGGCTCTCGTGGTTTAACTTAAACCACGAGAGTCATACATAGTGTTCATAAACTTGTGTCCACCAACTTAAACCACGAGAGTCATACATAGTGTTCATAAACTTAAACCACGAGAGTCATGCATAGTGTCCACCAACTTACATTACGAGAGTCATATATAGTGTCCACCTTTATGGACACTATATATGACTCTCGTAATGTAAGTTGGTGGACACTATGCATGACTTTCGTGGTTTAAGTTGGTGGACACTATGTATGACTCTCGTTGTTTAAGTTGGTGGACACTATGTATGACTCTCGTGGTTCAAGTTGGTGGACACTATGTATGACTCTTGTGGTTTAAGTGGTGGACACTATGTTTTAAGTTGGTGGACACTATCTCTGTGCCTGGTGTATCAGTACCTCAGTGCCAGAACTCCGAAGTTATGACTGACGAAGAAACAAATATATTGAAGTTCCAAAGTGATCCAAACAAGAGAACTGATATAGCGACTTTTAATATTTAACTACTTGGGGAATTCACGTCCTCGAAGTATAGCGACATCAAAACTTTCTGTTACATTCATCGTCACCATATTAGACATCAAACATTCCCTTCTAACAATCAACAACAATTTATGCCAATACAAAATTCACATGTTTTTCATTTCGTGACAAAACTAAAAAAAAAAAATGGCGAAGGCTATTCAGTTTTTAGACATATCTTTCTTTATGCTCATCATTGAGTCACATTAGAAAGTCTGTTTGTTTGTTTTTACTTAAGCTCAAAACAGTACATTGAGCTATCTGTGCTGCGCCCACCACGGGTATCTAAACCCGGTTTTTAACCACATTAGAAAGCAAGTTTGTTATTTTTCACCTAAAACAATGTGAATACTTTACGACCAATATGGCGTAGTAAACTATAGATCACGTAACTTTTTGACGTCGGTGCAAGACCTCTATATACTTATTTTTCAGCAAACTTTTTTAAGAAGCTGTCCTTAAATTTAAAATACGGGTAAGAGCAGAGTGAATTATTTAAGAATAGTTAATTATCAGGGTTATATGCTCCCACTAGAAGCGTTTGTTTGTTTTCGGATATTCTTACAATACTACTCAAGGACTATTTACGCTAGCTAACCCTAAATAATTTTGAACTGATAGACTAAATCGAAGGCAGCAGATCAACAGCAATCACCTCCGACCGAATAGTGGGATTTGACCGTCACTCTTATAACGCACTCACGACCCCAAAGTGTGATTTTTTTTCGGAAACAGTGGACCCACAGATTCACAGTCCGACACGCTAGCCACCGTATCACGTTCAGCCATCCATAGTTTATGGTTTGTTAAATGGACGTTTGTTTGTTGTTTTTTTTCAGTGGTATCAATATAAAAATTACGATCGTTTGTGTAAAGAAATAATTATCCCATTTGTTTTGAATTAGATGGACATATTGTGGTCACTTTGTTGATAGTAGAACTAATTAACTTTAGTTTCATGTCATTAAAATATAATATGGCAAGCAAACTACTTTAAATAGTGTTTAATTTGATAACTTTTAGGTTTAGCATAAAAGTAAACATAGTTAAATATTGGAAAACTTAGTCCATTTTAAGTTTAGTAGGAAAGTAAACTTCATTAATCATTGTTTAACTTAGTCAATTTTAAGTTTAGCAGGAAAGCAGACTTCATTAAGTGTTGTTTAACTTAGTCAA